TTTTTATCCGTGTTTTTAGTTTTAATCAGTTCTAGTCCAGCATGCAGCGTGTTGTGTCCATTATTAGCAGTTACAGTGTGTAAAGATCTGCACTTTGAATTTCTACTGAAACATAATTTGGGATACAGTAATTGATGATTATCACAAATTGCACATGAGGTATGTGCACATACTAGTTTAATACACACTACTGTAATGTTTATCATAGTGGGGACCTGGTCTGATGAGAAAGGGTTTCTAACTAATATTAATAACATCCCTACTATTGCTTTTATGTAAGGGTGATGCCGTTATGACAGCTTTTGAGAACTGCTCTGGTGCTCCAGTAAGAGTCCCACAAATTACACATGAATACAGTGCACAGCATAAATGAGTACACCCCCTCTGAAACTTAACAAATTCAGCAATTACTCTTTGCTTAGAAGACATGTTATGTTTTTATAGAGATATAATATTCCAGCAAGTCTGCTTGATCAGTTACCAAAGAAGAATGTTAAAATTATCAAGAAAATACCATTTTCTTTTCAAAGTGATAAAATGTTGTGTTGCAAAAATGAGTACACCCTCCTGAAAGTTACTAAAAAAAAAAAAATTCTGGTGTAAGGTTAAGGCAAGTATTGATCAACAGGTAAGTATGTTGAAACAAAACTGTTAAAGGTAAGTAATTTCTTGATAATTAAGTGTTATATGGCCCACTGAATCATACTCATGGACTTAATGCTGACAACAATGAAACCACTTATCTTAACACTCTTGAGCAGCTGTGGAGGATTCTGTAGAGATGAGCTGAGCAACACTCCCCATTAAAGACCAGGGCATTTAAGGAGGTCGTCCTCCAGGAGTTAAACAGCACAGATGTGAAAATTTGTCATGAACTTGTACACTCAGTGCCAAGAAGTGTCAGAGCAGTGTACTTAGAGTTATGGAGGACATATTAAGTTCTAGAATATTACACTTGGTTGAATTAAATCTAGGTTGTACTCATTTCTGCAATCCTTCATTTAAACAAAAAATGGCTACGTTTCTTATTTTACAGATATTAATGGTATGTATTTGTCTGTTTTTATTAAGAATATGTTTAATACGTTTCAATTTTGCCATCTTTCTATGAATTATATTAGTGATCATTAAGAAAATACATCTTTTATATTTAATCAGAGGGGGTGTACTCATTTATGCTGTGCACTGTATGTTATGTAAATTAAGTTAGCATATGAAACATGTAACCTTCAATGGTTCTAAACTAGAAAGACGTTGACGTCAAAGTGTTTGTATCATGCGTACTACAAACCTCTTCCCAGTACTCGAACAATACAGGTCAGACCAGCTGTGTGTTTCTGTGTGCTCACTGAGACAACCAGTCTATCTTCTCCTGATATTAGCTGCAGGCTCACACCCATCCTGTGCCGTCATGAACCTGATGAATCTCTTGAGTTTTCATACCAAACCGCTTGACTTCACGTCTGCCTGCCTTCTGAGTGATGCAAGGACATCTGTTCACACATAAACTGTTAATAACGTCCAGTCATTCTCAGTCATCAACATTCGCCTATAGCTATTCTGATCCATAATCACGCGTATGGAAGTCAATATAACAAATTAAAAATGTGATAAACAAGTGCAGCTGTCAATTTCTGTTGGATGTCATTTAAATTAACTTTTATCTTTTCTCTATAATTTTGTGAAATATTATTGCAATTTAAAATAACAGTTTTATTTTAATATACTTTAAAATATAATTTATTCCTCTGAGGCAAAGCTGAATTTTCAGCAACTTTAAAAAAAAAAAGAAATTAATACTTTTATTCAGCAAGGTTGTGTTAAATGGATGAAAAGAGATAGTAAAGACTTGCATTGTTAGAAAAGATAGCTCCACCCCTCCCTACTTGAGCTCCCCTCTCACCCGGTGTGAAGAAAGGACTCGCACACACACACACACACAGACTTTGACTGATGCACACGTGTATATGCAGTCCTGACCGAATGCTTCCCTGTGAGGAGCTTTTGCAAAGAGTACGAACTCAGATGAGACTGAAAGGAGCAGATGCTGTGGAAATGGAGGAGGAGTGGAAGGTGTCCAGGGAGCCACAAACAGGAGAGCAGGTTCAGGAACTCACTTGCTACACCGCCAGCCAAATCCAGAAAGGACACGGGGCCCTCAACCGGCCCCTGCCACCTGGGAGCCCGCCAAATATCACAGAGAGCATAAAAGCCTGACTTCAGAGTGCAAAAATCGTTTTCTTAAGCAGTATTTTTGCCTTGTTTTTAAAATAATTAAACATCCTTAAAACAACATTAATTTATTTTTACTTGCTTTGAAAAATTTAAATACATTTAATTTTCCTTCATTAAATGTCAATTCATTCATCAATCATCAGTTGAATTCATCAAGTATTAAGACTAACTTTTCAGGAAGTTTCTTTTTCTTATTTTTGCATAAATTTGCCTTGTTTAAAGGATGTTTCGGTTTTGTTTTTATTGGAAAACATGACAAAAATACTTTTTTTATTTTTTGCAGTGATGTCTTAGTATTTCACTAAAGGAAGACAACACAAACACATAAAAAACTCGCTCAGCTTTAAACTTTCCTTTCCAGACTCCTGCCTGGATCGCCATTAAACTCATTCGCCGAACCGTACCTGACCTTGAAATGAAAGCAGGTGCAAGTCACTTTCACGTCGACCTTCAGAACTGTCCAATACTGAAGCGACGGTGGTGCGTGAGAGACAGATTTGAACATTTTAAGCTGTAGAAGCCAAAGGATCTTTAGCTCGTCTGTATGATGTGAGTGTATTTTGTGAAATGCTTTGAGCCCGACCTGGTGCTGCTTGACTGTGCTGTTAGCTTACAGTAACTCTGCACTGTGCGTCCTGTAGCCACAACAGCCTCAGATCTTTACATCCGGTTAAAACCAACTAACTTAGACACAACCGTTTGCAGCCTGGTACCTGTGAAGGTAAATGACATTTTCACATTTTCAAAAAAAAAAGAAGACAATTTTCGTTCAAACCAAGCTTCCCAGACCTCTCAAACACGTTTTCAAACACTGAAGATAGACAAATAATCAACACTATTGATATGCAACATTGTCATCATGTATTCTAAAGATTAAAGTACATTTCCATTTAAGGGATAGTTTACCCAAAAATGAAAATTTAGTTATCATTTACTAACCCATCTTTCATCTTGCTGAACACAAAAGAAGATATATTTCTGGTATTTTCATATTATGAAAGTAAATGGGGTCCAAATCAGCATTACTTTGGACTCCATTGACTTTTATTGTAAAAAAATAAAAAAATAAATATATATATATATATTCTTCTATGTTCCACACAATAAAGAAAGCCATACAGATTTGGAACAACATTGAGCGTAAATTGTAGCCTCTGTCAGTTGTGCTTTTGTTATGAAGCCTTATGCCGGCTTTTTTTTTTTTTTATCTGCTGAGAGTTAATATTGTCCTTCTTTAATGTGTGTTACTTTTCTCTAGTTTTATTTATGGCTGTCTGTTGTATACATTGTGTGGAAGTGACTTTTTATTGTCCTTTTTACTTTTGTTTTATATATCTTTCATAAAGACCTGTATTTGTATTTTAGTGCTTGCATTGAAATAATTACAAAAGAGCAGATGACGTCATAGTTAAAATATGTCGTCATAATGTTTATTTACTGTTTTGATAATTTGTCATTTATTTCCCCCCGTCGCGAGAGGTCTACATATGGCAAGTGGTCCGTTTTTGTATATCCAGTAGGATTATTGACATTTTGTCATAACTGAAAAATGAAGAGTTATTCGCCCCTTTTAAAGTCACATGGACCAAATATCTAGGGGTTGATGGCTTCTTCCCCTCGTTTTCTTTTATTTTTCTCCCATCAAATGACTGCCTAACT